GTAAGAATATTGCAGGTATTTAAAAAAATGTTTCATCAAGAAAATACAGTTTTTTCTCATTGCTAACTTTACAACAATTTTTTACAAATATAATAATGTTTTGTTTGTGTCAAAAACAAAAGAGAAATTCCACTTCTTCCATTGGTGTAATTATCAATCAGTAGTCAAGAAGAATTTTAATAACAAATTAGATGTTGAATTAGAGATAGATTAATGAGTTTCCTGTGAGGAATTAACTGGTAGAGCTTCTCTGATCAGGCAGATGTTATCTAGATCTCTTGGGAATTAAACAAAGGAATTTAATTGCTCGTCTTGGATACAATTATCTTGTTGTCTAGCCTCTTTCAAAATAAATCCGGTATAAAGTAATGAAAACTAATTTGAAATTGTACAGTATGATTCTTTTTTAATATTGTCCAGCAAATGACAATGGTATTAATTGCTTAGATAAAGACTTTTTGCAATACACAAAGTCTGGAAAAGGGAACAAATCTGATGGCAATTATGGCTGCTTAATGTCTATGAGAAATATTTTTTTTTTTATTTAGAGGGGGGGGGGGGGATCACCTGCAGCTAGGGTCTTGGTTTACTCATCTCTGGGACTTGTCCTAACCTCTTTTATTGGATATGTTTCCATTAAGAAGTATTAGCTCATTTTGCCACATTTTTTAGAAAAAATAAAGATACCAAATGCAGTTTATTACTCAGACATAGTTTTTAACTTTTTTTTAAGTATCTGAGGTCAAATTCCATGTTTACCCCATCACACTTCTCTGTCTAAATCTGTCTAGCATTATGCACAAATGTAATAAATTTGTTTGGTGAATGTAAAAATTCAATTAATAGTTTATTTGACAATATATAAGATAGAAAAATATCAAAGCATATGAATCTGTTTTTACCACTTAAATGATGTATATTTGTTACAGGGTATTACAGAAGAGGAATAGAATATTACACTGTGGCAGTTGTTGAATACTTGGGAGTAATAGAGAAGAACAAGTAAACCTACTGCAAGACTTTTTCAGGAAAACTCGATGAACAATTGATCATGTCTAATATTAACATGAATTTATTAATACTAAACTAAAAAGACAAGAAAAATGCCAAAATTTCTTTAAATTTATCTGAGTTGTCTTCCCTTAGCTCTCCAACTACCACTCGTTAAAAACATTTACTTTTTATATTATATTCTAAGCAATCAGGGTTTAAGACTTGCAAATAAATCTTTTTTCAGACTTATTTTCTTAGCAAGTAACTGTTATCACATGTTATAAACATATAAATTTAATAATGAATTTCTTATCAAACTGTTGTTAAAAAGTTGTTTTCCTTTAAAGTTTTCTGAATTAACTTCCTTGTTATTCTAACAACTAGTTGCTAAGACATTTTCAGGAAGCTATCTAAGATATTCTTAACAAGCAATTGTTAAGGTTAAGACTTTCTTGGAGCTATTTAAGATTTTCTTAACAAGCAGTTGTTAGGGTTTACACTTATTCAGGAATCTACGATATTCTTAACAACCAGTTAGGATTTTAAAAGAATTGCATTAATTGAAACATAGCTTTCTTAACAAGCAGTTGTTAAGAAAATATCTTTGAACATACTCTTAATCTTTTTATTAAAAAGTTAAGGCATTTTTCCCAATGTTTTCTGAGTTGTCTAGCCTTGGTCCTCTACCAACTAGTTGTTAAGAAAAGAATATTTCTTTAAACTTGTATGTGCTATATTTGCTTAATAATTTCAATTAATTGTCAATTGTCAATTTTTATCCCGGTTTTCTAGCAAATTTTAAAAGGATTCCATGGACCTACTTCTAGCATCCTTAACAAGCAGTTGTTAAGACTTTATTCCATTTGACTTGCTTTTCATTTCTAACAACCAGTTGTTAAGAATATATCTTGTGAAATTCTTTTGGTATTCTTAACAAGCAGTTGTTAAGACTTTATTCCGTTTGACTTCCTTTTCATTTCTAACAACTAGTTATTAAGAATATATCTTGTGAAATTCTTTTGGTATTCTTAACAAGCAGTTGTTAAGACTTTATTCCGTTTGATTTCCTTTCCATTTCTAACAACCAGTTGTTAAGAATATATCTTGTGGAATTCTTTTGGTATTCTTAACAAGCAGTTGTTAAGACTTTATTCCGTTTGACTTCATTTCCATTTCTAACAACCAGTTGTTAAGAATATACCTTGTGAAATTCTTTTGGTATTCTTAACAAGCAGTTGTTAAGACTTTATTCTGTTTGTCTTCCTTTGCATTTCTAACAACCAGTTGTCAAGAATATGTCTTGTGGAATTCTTTGGGTAGTCTTAACAAACAGTTGTTAAAACTCTGTATAGAAGTGTAACAGTTTTACTTTATTTTATTTAACAAGCAATTACTTAAGAATTCCTTCAGCTTATTTTTCGTGTTCTTAACAAACAGTTGTTAAGACATGCCAGATATATAATGGTTTCTTAAACAAGCATTTGGTAAGAAATGGAAAATAAAGTGTTTAAAATATGCATAATTTCAGTTGTCTTTTTTGTACTTAACAACCATACAGAGCAAATGGAATTGATCAAATTAAAATGGAAGGTGTTTAATAGATATTATGCATTCATTCAAAAAATTATAAAAATGCACTTAGATGAACATATATCTAGGCTTAAAATTTCAAAAGTCCATTTTTCATTTATTATTTTTAATATTTTTTTAATTACTTCTTCCTTAACAGCTTCATTTTTATAATGTGTTAAGCACACAATGAATGTGTCCATACCCGTTGACCTAAAATAAATCGTGCAAAAAAATCTTAATTCTGTTTTACTGATAAATGAAACAAAAATAATTTCTTTAATATGCAAAATACTCCGACTCACAAGTTTGCGCATAACCTTGCGTAATGAAAACCAAAGTTAACTCAATTAAGATATTGGCATGCAAAAAATCATTGTTTTGAAATGTTTCCGGCAATAACTGTTTGTATAGAAAATGGTACATTCTGGAAGTCGAATGTCTTTACATGTGTAGCTGTCAAAGTAATAAAATTCAAAAACTAATAAACACCCAAGGCGAGGATATACCATAAGATGCCTTCATCCAGCCTACTTATATATAAGTGAAGAGTAGGTTGAAGAAAATGGCATATTTGATTAGCTACAAAAATTTTGTTGACACATGTATCAGTTGTTTCACACTTTCGTGAATATTTTTATTCCTGCTAAATATACATATTTCTTTTTTCTTTTTTTTTTTTTGAATAAAAGTAAATTTTAATACAGATATTCAATACTGTTTACATTGCCAGATTGCATTGTAGAAAATTGCGAATTATATATTATTAATTGAGTAAGATATAATATTTTGAAACATTTGAGATTTTATTTAAAAATATGTTCATGTAATGCAAAATTTTCCTTTTTGCATTTACATTTACATTTACATAAAGAGAGAAAAAAAAGCTCATAGAAAAAATGTTATATATGACAATTGTTGAGTCATAATGTATATGTTTCCACACCTGTATAAATTTAAAGGTATGAGTCCGATCTGTGTATGTTTTATAAATATAGCATTGTATTGATTGTACTTTGGTCCCGTGGCCTGCAATGCTCAATAAACATCTTGAAGCATTAGCAATTGTATATGTGTAATACAGATTGATTAAGATAGGAAAAATAAATTGTATTCATAGACTACACTAAAATTCTCTTCAGAGATTTACCCAAAGAATGCCATTTAACTGTATGTCTATACATATCAATTTATGACTCATTTCCACGCCTAGAGATTTTTGAATAGAGATTTAAATTTTGCCTGTCATTCGGTGTTTCATCTGACGTGCATTACGAACAGGAAGAACATTCTCATTTGTGCACAGGAGCTATGGAGAAATAGTGTAAGATAAATTTATTTTGAATATTTATACTTTTTAATTTTCTCCTAACAACATTAGATATTTTGTGTTTGTGGGAGTTTAATTGTGATAAGCCTAAAGGTAATTTGTAATCTTTCAGATTAATTCATGTGAATTGCAAATAATGTTTCAACAATAAATGCAGAAGGAAGAAATCAATTAAAATGTAACATTAACAGCTAGGTATACCCCATTTTACGTGCAAATCAGCAAGTTTACACAAGCGAAAGCAAAAGCAGTCGAAATTTTACCTTTTTATATAAGGCCATTTCTTCATTTACTTTTTTTACCCATATTGATAATTTTATATATATATATATATATATATATATATATATATATATATATATATATATATATATATATATATATATATATATATATATATATATATATATATATATATATATATATATTCATGTAAGTTGAAACCTTTGTACACCTGTGCAAGTAAGGATTGGTGTATATGATCACTGATGTAAACACAGAGCAGGTGATAAAAGTGCCAATAATGTGCTAAGATTGAAATGTTTCATTAAACCTGAGATAAAATGATTATAAAAGGCTTTTGTACACTTGATTCAGGACAATTGTTCGAACTTTTCAGAGGAATACATAGGGAACATAAACATCAATATTTAAACACAAATGAAATGAATTCTGAAAAAGGTTAAATTTGATGTATTTAATCTGATGAAAGATTTAAATTACTATTTCAAATTTAGTTGACTAGAAAAAGGTATAGTTCGAGATATTAACTATCTTTTTTGTAAGTATGTGATTAAAGTTTGGTCTTTTAAAATGAAGATCATTTAAAGACACCTTCTTCATAAGAATATGTATGTCTACACATGTTCCGAATATTTTTCTCATAAAAATCTTTTGGCTTACGACGGATCAAACAAACTTTGTAACTTTCGTGTAAAGGTGAAATATAAGTTAACTTCTTTGGTACACATACCAAGCATAGTTTGAAATTACACTTAAAAGTCTGAAGTATTTTCTTAAGAGTATGTTTATTTTCTGATAAAAAAATCTATATAATTTTACCAATCCATTCATTCATTCACTTTCAGGATTTTAAGCTAGTGGAAATATGACTACCGTCCAGGGACAAGATGGAATTTCGTGCAATTTGTGTCCTAATTCTGTGGAACATTACTGCAAACCTTGTCATATTGACCTTTGCAACGTATGTGTATCCTCACACCTGGCCGACAAATCAAGAGGACATGAAGTTGTAGACTATAAATCACGAAAAAGAGACACACTTGTTCTTCCTAATTGTACGACACACGACGAAAATCAATGTCCGACATTCTGCAAAACCTGTGCAATACCAGTTTGCCATTATTGTTTAATGGGATCTCACAAAAATCATGATTTAATTGGATTAAAGCATATAATTGAAAATTGCAAGTCCCGAATAAAAGCTGACACCCAAGAATTGCGAAAACATATTGTTCCAAAATTCACTAAAGTCGGATCTTTCACACCTGCTGCTGAATTTGATAAAATTCTTTCAAAAATAAAGGACCAAGAAGATAAAATTTGTCAAGCTGTACATCAAGAAGCTTTCCTATTAAGAGATGCAGTGACCAAACGAAGAAAGGAAGCTGAAGGGATGAACGAAGAAAACAAAAAAATGGCAGCAAAAACTCAAAAAGAACTCAATGCAATTATTGAGGTAAATGAAGGTATCCTCAGATCTAATGACGTAACGGCTGTTATAAACTACGAATCATTCGAAGGGAACCTACGAAATGGTCCAGAGATATTCCGATTTCAATGTCCGAACTTTTCTCCCTATCCAATTGACCCAAAACAAATTCGGAAAATGTTTGGTTCGCTTTACTCCAGCAATCTTCGCAGCAGGCAATTTACGTTTTTAAAGTTCATGGAAACTCCTACAGTACTGAAAACTCTCCAGAGTCCTTATGGAGAGTCTAAAAAAAAGTTGTGGCAGGTGCAGTGTATGGGGGAAAATATGATCTTAACAAGCGGTCGTGTTAAAACAATAAATATAATAAACAAGAGTCAATCTATCCTAAAGGAAATAAAAACTAAAAGTGATGTTGCAGTATTGTCAACTAACTTAGATCATGAACCAGTATTCACAGGAGTCCCTGTGGAGGATACAAAAGTTTATGTTAATAGAAATGACAAAGTAGACATACTTATGGATTTAGTTGATTGGAGTCCTAGAGGTCTGTGCCATATCGGAGCAAGGGATCTGCTGGTTAGCATGCGCTCAAAGGATCTGAGCCAATCTAGAGTGGTGTGGTATTCAGAATTGATACAGAAACATGTGATACAATATGACGGAAAGAAAAGGCCTTTGTTTTCTACTGGCTCTTGCTTTATGCTTCGTCTTACTGAAAATGGCAGTGGAGATATCTGTGTCGCCGATTTCGCTGCAAATGCGGTTGTAGTGGTGGATGCGTCTGGAGGATTAAGATTCAAGTATTATGGCAATCTCTCCCCGTCATCCCATTACAAGGAGTTTCAGCCATCAGTAATTGCTGCTAATATCAATCACCAAATCATGGTAGGTGATTTTGCGAACGATATAATTCATATTATAGATCTTGATGGAAATTTCATTCGTTACATCAAATGCCCATGTTCTGCTGGACTAAGCATTGACCGCGACGAGAATCTCGTTATTGGTGAATATTATACCGGAAAAATTCGAATTGTTAAATACCTGGAGTGAAGCTCAATATTAAACTATCACGAAGTTACAGTCTAAAACGTACAACATCTTAAAAGTCATTAAGCCCTGTTGAAAGATACGAGTTACATAGAGACACATTTTCCCTTCCTTTTTGAAATGTAGAGAACATTTGAAGGGATTGCTTGTTACTTTCTTTTTGTGTTACTGGAATGAAATCATATACACTGACTATGATCAATAATCTTTAAACTTCTCTTGATACTTTGGTGTTTAAATCATATATATTATAATCAACCCCTTCAGTATGTTTTGTTTAACAGTTTTTGCCTTTCTTTCTTTCTTGTTTTTTTTTAAATAATCTGTTTCCAGGGTATATCAGGCACAATGATAAAAGCCTCTTTTTCTTAATGTCCATGTACTTGAGTTTTTTAACTCTCTTTTTTGAATAATATTTTTTCTTTACCTTTAATTTTCCTTTGACAGTAAAATAAGAACTGCTAACTGTTTCATTAATTTCAATTTGAAATTAAATATTTCTAGAAAAATTGATTTTGGGTTAATTGTTGCATGATTATACCTATAAATTATAATAACTTAAATTTAAGGTACAATTGCTCAGTAAATTGATATGTTGGTTAATCTTACATAAGAACTTCAGTTTTATTAACGTGTCTACTCACTGAATATTCTGTATATATGACAGTTTGACGAAATTAGGCCTCCAAGAGCCAGTAAAATGTTGGTTATCAAACTATCACCGCCCCACGAATTATGATTCCACATTGTATGGGAACTATGAGGCGCCGTTTTGGTATTTACTGCCAAAAAGTGATATCACCTATTCGAATAGGTGATATCACCTATTCAATTGGTGATATCACCTATTCGAATAAGTGATATCACCTATTCAGCTTCTGAATAGGTGATATCACCTATTCGAATAGGTGATATCACCTATTCGAATAGGTGATATCACCTATTCAATTTGAATGAGTGATATCACCTATTCGAATAGGTGATATCACCTATTCGAATAGGTGATATCACTTATTCGAATAGGTGATATCACTTATTCGAATAGGTGATATCACTTATTCCTTTTGAATAGGTGATATCACTTATTCGAATGGGTGATATCACCTATTCAAATCAAATAGGTGATATCACCTATTCGAATAGGTGATATCACTTATTCGAATAGGTGATATCACTTAATCATTTTGAATAGGTGATATCACTTATTCCAATAGGTGATATCACCTATTCAAATTATTTATGAAATAACAACTGCTCCCAAGACTATAGCCTTTAATTCTCATTTACTTTCACTTTCGTTTTATAACTTACCATTCTTGCAGACAATGGATTACAGCTTCGCATTTAGTTTTAAGCAGCCCAGTAGAATTTGTAGTTTGTTTTGCTCAGAAATTATATTTATTACACTTATCTATCATGTATACTCTAGGAAAATTCAAAGGGTCTGTAAGTCTCGTTGACTTTCACTTTCGTTTTATAACTCCCGGGTACCTAAGCGTTCTTGGAGACAATGGATTACTTAAGTTGTAAGCATCGCAGAGGAATTATTAAACTTGTAGTTTGTTTTGATTCCCGATTGTTGCAAAGAAGAGGAGAAAATGGATTGATAGATGCAGGTAAATAGCGTTTAATTGCTTTATTTTTTCATTACATAACGTAAACACAAGCTCTTCCGAGGGGGCCAAGATTAGCCAACATACTTAAGCATAAAGGGAAAATTAAATCGTTTTTATTCTAAAATCTTCTGTATTCAAAAGTTACGCTTATCTACAGATTGGTTTCATAAATTTAAAGCATTGATTTAGCTTACAATATGGTAAATAAAAAAAATAGATGTACCCAAATGCATCGACCATGGGAATACAAAGTTGAATACCACGTCGATAACATATGATCTTTGTAGAAAACACATTTTTTTTTTTAATTTAATTACTACAATAAATAAAAATGGTCAGCTCAAAATTGGTCATTCTGTAGGCTACCCTGTCTATTCAGAAATAAAAATGGTCACATACACTCAAAAAATAATTATTTTTTATTCTACAAAGAAGAAGGCATTTTTTTCATTTACACATACATACTGTATTAACTGCCAAGTTTCATGACCACCCCCACCCCCCACCCCCCCTTTTCCAATACGTCTACAATTATGAGACAGACTTTTTTTTCTTGAAATAGGCATTTTTCTCCATTTCTCATAACATATTACAGGGCTGCACAAGGTACTGAAAAAGGGACAGCGCTTTGAGTGAATGTGTTATCCATGTATCTGCAAATGAAGCAGATCCCCCAGTTATTATACTCATAAAGAGTGTAACAACTTCCAACTTGTTAATGACGGAACTCCATTTAAATCAGGTACAAGTTAAAATTTAGGCTGCACAATTCTTTATTACAATTTTCAAAACTTAATAATTCAGCATCAAGTTCACACAAGCTCACATTCCATGGTTACTTACAACACCATTATGCTAGATAAATTTGTTATACACTTTCATGTTAAATAGTCAAATTTGATTGGTTTAAAACCATACTGCATGCCAGACATTACATCCCAATGGTTGAAAATGCATGACTACGGGTAACAGTATATATACAGTAATAAAAAATGTTAACTGTGCAGAATGTTTGCACGTTCGTTTCACCTTGTTGTTTTCTTTAAAATGCATTCTATAACAAGAAAAATATTACCTGTTTATTTTGGGTGATGTGAAATTCTTACCCCTTAAAAACCATTGCTGACCGAGGCGAGGTCAGCGATGGTTTTTGTGGTATAACAATTTCACGTTATCCTACTAAACATGTAATATTTTCATGTTATATGTACTTCTATTTGTAAATGTTAATGACTGTGAAAAACATAAATATTTATAAATTAGTAAAATCAATTTAATACACTATGAATACACAAAAGGACAAATTTGTACATAATTCTCTATGATTTGGTTAATTAGTTTATTTAAAGGATGTAAATGGACATGACATATCATTGTTAATATTCAAGAAAGTGTTCACTGTTTTTCTTGTAGATGCTCCTTTCCATCTGATGTTTTCCAGGTTTTTGTGGAAAGTTTTCTTAAAAATGGCACCATTCAACTACAAATACTATGCCAGTGGAACTGTGATATCAATCAACTGCTTATGACACTATTAATTGGCAGAGAATTTATTTTTTTTTTTATTTGGGACAAGCAATCTGTTTCAAACATTTTATACCTGCAAATTGGTACTTGTACTTCATGAAATGCTTGAAGGATGCTAAAGGCTACTGAAATTCCAAGCCAGATGAAATTCAAAAGGATTGATACAAAAGTCATTTGAAGTTTTCTATTCTTAGTGATGAGTGTTTTTCAGGATGCCCTCTGATATCATAGGTACAACTGGTCACTGTCCTTTGTTAGTTACACATGCAGACAACTTATTAAGGCAGTGATATAAGTAGCTCGAAGTGATGCTTTATTGTTTTCCTCAGATTTATAACCTGGATTGATCTCTGATGCAGTAATTTAAAGCCATGTCTTTTCACTGTCACAAAGTACTGAAATAAATATAATTTTGATTAAAATATTTCTTTTAATTCACATCATTAAATTTTTAAGCTACAGAAATTCAAATTAATTACCTATTAGTAAATAGAAATCTTTAATTGATTAGCGAGCCTTTGCATTGTCAGATCCTTTTCTGAAAGGGTCATTTACCTTTAACAATGTCAGGACAGGTGAGGCAACTGGCTGGTCTTCATGCTGGAAGTGTGTGTTAACTCTGTAATCTTTTTAAACAAAACCATCCAGTGATGTCCTAAGATTGCCAGATGAGCAGACATATACCTGTATTTAAGAAAGATTCTGTAACATGACATAGAATTTTTGCACAGCTTGACGCACAACTGATGGTATCTTAGGTGCCTGCAAAATAATAAATCTGACACATATTTATTTATTTGATACAAATCAGAACAAAATTTGTCCTTTTACAGAACAAATTATTTTCATTTTAAAGAAAAGAGAAATGCATATGTACTGTTTGAATACATATAACCTGTATTATTGGATATTTTCACCCCATTCTAATTTTTAAAATATTCACTCTTTCACCCTTGAAAACAATTTTGCCCTTTTAAAATTTGATCAGACACATTTGTGTTTAAAAAATATATGCTGCCTTCTTCGAATTTGTCCCGTTTTAAATTCACCTACTTGTAAGGAGGGCAGAATGAGAAAAATTAAACTTAACTGGGGCGAAAAATTTCCAGAACAAAGTACCATTACTTGCCTGCCTGTTGTACTATAACTCGATCCTCCAACCTTACAATATTCTATAATCATTGCTTTCATGCGATACCCCCCCCCCCCAGTGGATTGATGGTCTCTTTTCCAAATTATATGCACTTTCTAAAAAGAATGAATTTGTCAATTTATAAAATTTAGTATTACAAGTTAATAAAGACAGTAAAACAATGTTAACAACATTTATATGCAAATGAACCTCTGTACAAATCACTTATAAATGATTGACAACTTGTATGGAATATATCGAATACCCTTAATTTTGACATTTGGAAACCCAGCGTTAAGGCCAAACAAAAAAATATGTGTGGTTCTGGTTACACCTCCAAAAAAAAAATAGGGAAGGTGGGTAGGGATTTTTTTTTTTTTTTTTTTTTTTTTTTTTTTTTTTTTTTTTTAACAAAATGATTTTCTAAATTTTTCCAAATAATACCTATTTCTTTTCGTTAGCATAAGTGAACTATTTTACGTGTAGAGTGTTAGATATGTTTTCTCTTAAGCATATGGATTAGATATGTGCTTTAATGTGTGAATAAAATGTCTTGGATATTTAAACAGTTGTTTGCTATTCATTCGAGTTCATACTCATCCAGAAAATACAATGTTTGAAGAAAATCAGCATGAGCAATTTGAATTATTTAACTGTTATTTGGATATTATATTTTCTTTTTTTAGAATGTTAAGTTTTTACGAAGATGATAAGTGCTGTCCTTGTTTT